TCATAAAGAAGAATAACTGAATTAATTATAAGTAAGTATAATGTTTGAATATCATCAGAAAGATAATGATTCTATTTCTACTGTATATTTGATGAAGTAATTAAAAAACTTAAATAAATTAAATGAGTTTTTATTTAAATTTATTTTCAATAATTTAATATAAAATATGATAGTTTATATTTTAAATAAACAATAATTTAAATAGAATGAATAATTTAATTTATTAAATTAAATTATTCTCATAAACATTCTTTTCATTAATTTATTAATGATTGTTATTAATTAATTTGAAAATACAATAAAGAATCATTCTTTCATTTTTATTTATTTTATTTTTATTTTAAGATCTCCCCTGAGCTAGGAAGAATAGATGAAAAATCTATTAATACTTAATTAATTACTTTTTCTTTATTTTTATTTTAAGATCCTTTTTCCAATACAAGAAATACAACAAATTTTAATTCAATGAGTATTTTGTAATATCAATTTGTATTGTAAAGAAAAGCAAATAAAACATAGAAACCTAAGGTCATACAATAAAAAAAGAAATGTCAATAGCAATAAATGGCATAACAGTTATAACAATAATAAAAGTAAACGATACACCAAGGAAAAAGGGGTTTAGAAGACGAAAGACACAAAGAAAAACAAGTAAGAAACAGGGTAAATACAATAATAATAAAGATTATACAAATAACAAATATAAATGATTAACAATAAATGATATACAAGAAAGAATAAAAAGAATAAGAAGTGAGTGGAATAAAGGAGAGTATGAAGAAATTCTCAAGAAGTAAGAAGGTAAAAGAACAAGATGGTATGATATTCTTCAAGAAGTATATTCAATCAAAAAGAAAAAGATAAATGAAAAAATAAAGAAGAAACTAAAAACAAAAGACATTGAAGAAAAAGACATTAAAACAAATGAGAAGAAATTAAAAACAAAAATCCAAACAAAGAAATGAAAGAAAGGTGTAAAACTGAAAGAATAATAAAAAAACAAAACACAATGAAAATACAACGGGAAATACAACAAATCAAAGAAATAGAATTTTAATTGAAGTGTTGTATTGTTTTAAATTAATTGGTTGAATAAGAAATTATATAAGAAAGGAACAAAGGAACAAAGGAACAAATAGAAAGTATAATAAAAATAATAAACATCAATGTCAATAATGAAAAAGAATATATTAAATATATTAAAATGTCACATAAAATAAAAGAAAGCACTAAACGGTACATTAAAGTGAAAGTAAATGATATAATAGAAGAGTAGAGTGTAAATCAATAATAAAAAACATCATATTAAAGAATAACTCTACATAAATTGATGAAGAATACCTTAACACTCTCATCAATAAAGTAAAAGAAATGAAAGTAGAAAAATGTTCAAACATTAATTACTACTTTCAAAGAAAAGAAGCTGACGAATTAATAATAGAAATTAATAATAGATTGATATTGTCAGGAAGCAGAATTGATTATCTGCAAGATGATATGAAGAATATTTCAATGGTTATTCACCTCTATCTCCAAAATAAAATAATAAGAGATAAATTTGATGAAATAAAAGAAATATAAAGAAAATAAATAGACTAGAAGATTTGGTCAAGGGAAGGAAATGGTACAGAATAAAGTGCATCATGAAATTAAAAGAAAATGATGAAGAAGGAATAAAAGTTAAAGCACTAGAAAGAATAAAGTACCTAAAATATATGATGACAATGATAAAAGAAAGAATTAAATTTAATAAGGAAGAAAGGGTCAGAATCAATACAAATAAAATAATGTTTGATTCTAACAAGAAAATTAGAATAAGGAAGAAAGACCCAAAAAATGAAATATACCCAAATAACGATATTACTTTAGAATAAATGAAATGTTATATGAAACACATGTGATATTAAATAAAGAGAATTGGAAAATAAAACAAAACACCTCGTGGAATGAAAGATATAGAAATTATGATAATGTCATAATAAAAATAAATGAATTAAATTTAAGTATAATGAGAATAAGTAACTGGAAAGCACCAGGAATAGACACTATATATGGGTATTATTGGAAAATGATGTCATCATCAAGAGAAACCATTCTCAGTATCTTCAATGAATGGTTGAACTTCAATCAAAACATCCCATTAGACATGGTAAGTGGAAGAACTTTATTAATCCACAAATTGATATGAATAATGTCACTAATTATCGTCATATCAGTTGTACAAATGTAATTATGAAAGTATTTACCTCCATATTAAAAGAAAAGATTCACAGAAGACTTAACATGAATTGTGAATCATTTAAAATTAGTAAAAATCAACTGGGATGTAAGTTACAGTCTTTAGCTGCTAAAGAAGGAATAATAAATAGTTATATATTAAAGCAGCAGAAAGAAGAGAAATAAATAAAATATGTGGAGTCATATTATGACATTAAGAAAGCATCTGACACAGTAAACCACGAATGGGTAATTGAATCATTAAAGTATTTTAATGTAGAGTTTGTCATCATTGACATTATTGAAAGTATGATGACTAGATGGAAGATATTCATTGGTTATAAATTTAATGAATATCTATGATGTATTAAATTAAATAGAGGAATTTTACAATGTGATTCATTATCAAATCTACTCTTCATCATTCAGATGAATGTAATTTCTCAAATCATCGAAGAGAAATTCCCAAAAGCAAATCACACTTTATATATGGATGATTTGAGAATAATGACAGAAAGTAGTGAAGTAATTTGAATAATCCACAATGAAATTGAAGAAATAATAAGTGGATATTTTAGAAGATGGTTTGAGTCAAAATGAGTAGATAAAACTACTACAGCCAAAGCATGGAAGTCATTCAATATTAAAAAGAATGTATTTCTACAATTAACTAAAATGCAAGATGGAGCAATATTCAGATTGTATAGAAAATCAAAAATAATGAAAAATGAAAGATTGAAATACTGCCCACTTTGTAAAGACAAGATAGCTACAGTAGAACACATTCTACTATCCTGTATTTATCATAATAAATCACAAATGGAGAAACATGACAATATATGCATTATAATATTGATTAATAAGAAAATATACAGGAAATAATCAATATAAAACCTCCATATGAAACAGTGTTCCAATATAAAGACATTACTATGATATTGAACAAAAAAATAATGCATAAAAGTGATGGACAATATCACAAAATACCAGATATATATGTATTAGATAAAAAGAATAAAACTTGTCTATTATTTGATATGACTATTGTTGAATATCACAATATTAATTGAGTGTGTTGGAAGAAAAGAAATAAGTATAATGAATTAAAGAATATTCTAATGAAAATAGAAAAACTAAAAGATGTCAAAATAATTCCAGTAGTAATTTCAATAAATGGATTAATAAATAACTTAAGTATTAAATTAATTAAAGAATTAAAAATTGAGATTGACATCGAGAAAGAAGTAAAAAACATTGTAATAAAAAACATGATGGATGTCATGGACTATTGCTTTTATCACAACCAAACATACTCCGTAAAACTGATAGAAAAAAGACTCAAGGATGTGATTAGTCTCCCCTGAGTCATTAACAATAGAATCTAGTTCTATTAATACTTACTTAATTACTTATTATTTATTCGTCTTTTTGTGGTGTCAGATATTTTGTGTTAAATAAAATACAAAACTAAATTCTAATAATAAATAAATTAAAAAATATTTTAATAACATAAAATAGTAAATATTAATATATTTTGTTATAAAAAGTTTTTTAGTAATAACAAAATATAAAACTATAAGTGCTAAAAGAAAACAAACAATAATATTTTGTGCTTAAATAAATGGAATTTAAAAAGGTTATTAAAGAACTTTATTGACAGTCATGAATAAATTAGGATGGTATAAAGGAAAAGCTGCACTAACACTAGATCAGCTTTATGAAAAAGAAGCTGATCCTGAGGAATTTAAAAGAAAATATCTCCCGAATGTACAAACAAAACGAGTTAAGTCTGAAACAAAGAAACCAGAAAAAGTTTCAACAAACAATAGTAAAAAGTCTATCACCAAAACGATTGAAAAGAAACCCAAAAAGCTAAATGAATTAACAGATGAAGAAAAAATAGAACTAATGTTCAGAAAAAAAAATGCAAAACCAGTATCTTCTATCCCTAAAACGGTGTTAAACCAATTCAAAAAACCTAGTGTTATGCAAAAAAGAAAAGAGACACCTTCTAACCACTCTCAAGAACAACGATATGATGATTTTATTGATGATGATTTTAAACAAAATTATGATGATGATTATGATGATGTGGGATATGCAGGAATGGTTGCAGAAGAAGAGAGATTAGCAGAAGAAGGCAGAAGAGAAGATGAAGCAGAGTTATTAGCATTGAAACATTCAGGAAAGTATAGTAATGATTTTTAAGATTCTAAATATGATATTTTTGATAAAATACAATTAATTTTTGTTTTAAAAAGACTCAAAGAAAAAGTATCAAGATTTTTGTTTTACTGTTTCATAAAAATAAAGAAAGACAAATGAATGAATTTTTCTATTTATCAGTGACAAAGGATGAATAAATAATTCCTGGGAAATATTCTTATTGCTAATATCAAATCCCTATTATCTCAAAAAAATATAATAAAAAATTAAAAAAGAAAAAGAAGAATGAAAAAAAAGACGTGGCTGAAATGATTCATAAAACCCTACGAACTAAGAACAATATTATTCCATGAACACAGACTTACCTAGTCAAATTAATTTTCCTAAAACTGAAGAGGAAGTTATTGAATTCTGGAAAAAGATTGATGTGTTTAATAAATGCAATGAAATAACTAAAGATAGACCTCGTTTTTCTTTCTATGATGGACCACCCTTTGCCACAGGACTTCCACATTATGGACATTTACTTGCAGGAACTATTAAAGACACAGTTTGTAGATATGCCATTCAAACAGGACATAGAGTTGATAGAAAATTTGGATGGGATACTCATGGACTTCCAATTGAGTTTGAAATTGATAAATTATTAGGTATTCATACTACTGAGGAGGTACTTAAACTTGGTATTCCTAAGTATAATCAAGAATGTAGAAATATTGTTATGAGATATTCAGAAGAATGGAAAAAAGTAGTTTGGAGATGTGGTAGATGGATTGATATGGATCATCCTTATAAAACAATGGACATTGATTTTATGGAATCAGTTTGGTGGGTGTTTAAACAATTGTATGAAAAGAATTTAGTCTATCGAGGATTGAAAATTATGCCATTTTCTACTGGATGTTGTACACCATTAAGTAATTTTGAAGCAGGTATGGCTTATAGAGATGTACCAGATCCAGCTGTCACTATGACATTCCCTGTTAATGGAGAGGAAAATACTTATTTCCTTGCATGGACAACTACTCCATGGACTCTTCCATCTAATCTTGCACTTTGTGTCAATCCCAATATGGATTATGTTAAATTTTATGATGAAACTACTAAACATAATTATTATATGATGGAATGTTTAATGCCAACACTTCCTAATGCTAAAAAAGCAAAGAGAACAATAATAGAAAAAATGAAAGGTAAAGACCTTGTTGGAAAAACTTATGTTCCATTATTCCCTTATTTCAAAGACCTTAAAGGATGTTTCAGAGTTGTTGCTGATGATTATGTCCAAAATGATTCTGGAACTGGTATTGTTCATCAAGCACCAGGATTTGGTGAAGACGATTATCGTGTTTGTATGGCTAATGGTATTATTAGTAAAGGAACTAATCTTGTTTGTCCAATTGATTTTTCAGGTAAATTTACTGCTGAAGTACCAGATTATCAAGGTAGATATATTAAAGATTGTGATAAAGATATTATTGAAAGACTTAAGAAGGAAGGAAGAATCTTTAATGTAGCAACTATTACACATTCATATCCATTCTGTTGGAGGTCTGATACTCCATTAATTTATCGTGCTATTCCATCATGGTTTGTTAATGTTGAGTCTTTCAAAGATAAATTAGTTGAAAGTTCTCAACAAACTTATTGGGTTCCAGAAAATATTAGAGAAGGTAGATTTGAAAATTGGTTAAGAAATGCAAGAGATTGGGCTATTTCTAGAAATAGATTCTGGGGAACACCAATCCCAATTTGGACTGATGATGATTATACTGAATTTGTTTGTGTTGGAAGTGTAAAAGAACTTGAGGAACTTACAGGAAAAAAAGTTACCGATCTTCATAGAGAATCTGTTGATAATTTAATTATTGAAAAGAATGGTAAAAAGCTTCATAGAATCTCTGAAGTTTTTGATTGTTGGTTTGAATCAGGATCTATGCCTTATGGACAAAGTCATTATCCATTTGAAAATGTTGAACAATTTAAAGAGAATTTCCCAGGTGATTTTATTGCTGAAGGTATTGATCAAACAAGAGGATGGTTCTATTCTCTTATTGTTATTTCTACTGCTTTGTTTGGAAAAGCACCATTTAAGAATTGTGTTGTTAATGGTCTTGTACTTGCTTCTGATGGTAAAAAAATGTCAAAGAGATTAAAGAATTATCCTGATCCAATGGATATGATTAATCTCTATGGTGCTGATGCTTTAAGACTTTCACTTATTAATTCACCAGCTGTACGTGCTGAAACTGTTAAATTCCAAGAAAAAACATTAAAAGAATTAATTTCAACCATTTTCTTACCATGGTTTAATACATTAAGATATCTTAAACAATCATTTAAACCTGAGATGAAGATTATGGCTATTGATAAAATTGCTAATATGAATGATATGGATAGATGGATTCTTTCTTCATTAATGTCACTTGTAAAGAAAGTTAGAGAAGAAATGAAAATGTTTAGACTTTATACTATTATTACACCATTAGTTGATTTGCTTGTAACCCTTTCTAATTGGTATATTAGATTAAATAGAAAAAGATTTAGAGGTGGTTACGGTGAAGCTGCACAAGAAACTTCATGTAGTGTTTTGTATCATTGTTTGAAGATTATGTCAATTCTTATGGCACCTTTTACACCATTCTTCTCAGAATTCTGTTATCAAAAATTAAAAGCATTCCCATTAAATTATGAAGAGAAGATGGAAGAGTCTGTTCACTTTGTCCAAATTCCTGAACCACTTGAACAATTCCATGATGCTAAACTTGAAGAAGTTGTTGATGCTCTTAAGAAAATTATTGAATTAGGTAGAAGTGCTCGTGATAAGAAAATCCTTCCATTGAAACAACCATTGAGAAAGATAACAATTATCCATGGTTCTCAAGAATTCCTTGATCGTTTAATGGTATTTAAAGAATATATTGCTATTGAATTAAATGTAGAAGAAGTTATTGCTACTACTGAACAAGATCAATTTATTACTCTTTCATTAGCTCCAGAAAGAGCTGTTATTGGTAAGAAATATAAAAAAGAAGGAAAGAAATATATTGATGCTTTAATGAAGGTTGATCGTAATAGAATTTTGAAGTTTATTGAAGAAGGAAAAATTGAAGTTGAAGGACAAACCTTTACTGAAGAGGAAGTTAAAGTTCATAGACAATTTAGTGGTGACACTTCAACACAAGAAGCAATGTGGGATAAGGATGTATTAGTTTTATTAGATTGTGTTCGTGATATTAATTTGATTCAAAAAGGAATTTGTAGAGAAGTAAATAACAGAATCCAAAAATTAAGAAAGGAAGCAGGATTGAAGGTTGATGATAATGTTGTTGTTTATTATAGTTATGATGATTCTAATCATACTAATATTGACGAGGCAATTAAAGCACAAGAAGAATTCCTTAAATCTTATGGAGTTATTATGAAAGTTAAAGAAGGAGAAATAGCATCAATCAAAGACGCAAATGTTACTTTGAAATGTGTTACCGACTCTATTCACTTATTCCTTGTTAAGCTTTAAATGAATACTTTTTGGTAGAAAAAAAAAATTTTATGTTAAAAATCCTTTTATTATAAAATTGATTTTCATAATAATTTAAAAAGAAAAGAATATTATGTTTAGTCAGAAAAAAATAAGTAAAAATAAATAAGAAATCAGAAAAATTTCACTTAAAATTTGTATTAACACGTTTTGATGATTGAACCTACTTTGATTATTGGAACTTTTAACTATGTTTGTTTAGTTGTTATTTAGTTATAATAAAAATGAGAAGGTAATAAGTAGTATGTCAAAGACACTGAAATTAAAGATATAATATCAAAACTGGTTGAAGTTATTTCTGTTGATATTAAAACTGATGTGTCAAGTGGTAAATCTCTTGGAGTTGCTGTTGTTACATTAAAAAATAAAAGTGATTGTGATGGATTAATTAAAGCTCTAAATGAAAGTCCAGTTGAAGATTTGATTGGTGACAAAGATAAGTTGTGTAGTGAAAAGATTTTAGCTCAACCGTGGACCACTAAAACAGAACTTCAATTTATTTATGAGAATGGTCAATTTTCACATACTTCTTCAAAAGAATATTATGCAAATGAATTGAAGAAGTTTGGTTTTCTTTTCTTTTTATTTCTGATACAATTAATTATACCAACGACGTAGAGGTGAAAGTAATAGAAGAGGTGATGAAAATGAAAGAAAAAGATCTCGTTCTAGACACTCTCGTTCCCATTCTAGACACTTTAAAGGATCAAAAAGACATCACTCAAGAAGCAGATCAAGACGTGAAAGACGTCGTTCAAGAAGTAGGTCACCTCGAAGAGATAAAGATAGAGACAGGTCTAAGAGAGATTCTCATCGCCATTGAATTGAATTTTTGTGATTGATACATTTTATACAAATCCATTATATTTTTAAAATTTGTTATATTATCTTCTTTTACAACATAAGAATTAAGAAAAATGTTTTAACAAAAAGAATAAAAATCAAAAGAAAAAAAAAAAAGAAAAAAAAAGGAACTAAAAAAAAAGAAAAAAACTTAAAAAAAATTATATTATTTTGAAAGGTATGAAGCAAATTCTTTTTATTTCAGTATTTGTTATTTCCAGTATTGCACTTATAACTGAAATTGGACATACAGGAATATTAGCTGCTAATCTTGTTACAAGTGAAAAAGATGTAGTTGAATTAGAAAAACGAATTCAAATTAATGAAGATAGAGAAAGAGTTCTTAAAGATCAATTGAGAATGCATTATCATGACCTTAGACTTGCTGCAAATCCTACATCAAGAGTTCAACTTGAAAGAGGTATTGAATCAATTTTAAGTGAATTAAGAGTTCTTAGAGCTGCTTCAAGAAAATTCCTTGATAAAATGAGAGGAATTGCTGATGGACTTACTGGAATTGAACGTAATGAATTTATTAGAAGACATAGACTTGAAAGAAGAGTTGGAAGTACATCTAATTTAAAAGCATCAAAGATTACAAAACAAGCAAAAAAACAAGTTAAAAAAATTGCAAAAGAATCAGCTAAAAAATACAGTT